TGCTTTCTGTTAGAGATCATTTTAAGAGGACGATGTTTCGGCGAGTAAGAGAAGTCTCTTGCACACTAGATTGAAAAAAAACTAATGGGCGTTAAACCAAAATATGAAGCATACCTTCCCTCTTTGAATCCTGTTAGTGAATAGAGCGTCAAAAAAATCATTTGATAGATGAAGGTGTTAACTGATCAACTTTCTTGCACTTGACCCAGAATGTCTTTGTTAAGTAAAAAATTAAAACAAAACAATTATGGACAATATTTTAGTTGTAGTTTTCAGCCCTCCAATCTGGAGAAATTATTTACAAAAATTCCGCTAAATTAATTTAGAATCTCGCACAGGCCAAACATTAATTTACTCGACATTATATTTACATAGAAACTTCAAAAATTTATCTTGATGAAGTTTCATGACAACAAATCAAATCGTTGTTTGAAGTGTGTTGAACTGCCCCACACATATTTCGAAATGATTTAACAAATTAATTCTTTAGTAATTTACCAATTAATTTAAGAATAATTACTAATTATTTAATCGATAATTATTGAATTTTGAACTATTAATTACTTATTTAACTAATTAAGAAACGAATTATTTAATTTATTAATTACTTCAGCATCGCATGCTATCGCAAGAATCAATGCTCATGTTGCAGAATCAGTTGGAGAGATATTCGTTTGCTCCAATATGTTCAAGATCGCAATAAATTAACACGTTCTGTATTAATTCCCAATAAATTATAAATTTGGTTATTGATTACTTAACTAAGTTTTGCTTTATAAGTTTCTGTTCACTAAGAAAAAAATTAGATTTCTTCATGATAGCGAATAACATGAAATGCAGCACCAAACTCCGTCCTGCCGCAGAGTCGACCACCAATCACAGCCTCGCCTGATCGTACGACCAAACAAATATAGACCGGGCCTGAACCTGCTACACTCTGCACCTGCTACATTCTGCACGCTCTGCACCTGCTACACTCTGCACGCTCTGCACCTGCTACACTCTGCACGCTCTGCACCTGCTACATTCTGCACGCTCTGCACCTGCTACACTCTGCACGCTCTGCACCTGCTACACTCTGCACGCTCTGCACCTGCTACATTCTGCACGCTCTGCACCTGCTACACNGTCACTGCTTGCCTAGTGAGGCGTCACTGCTTGCCTAGTGAGGCGTCACTGCTTGCCTAGTGAGGCGTCACTGCTTGCCTAGTGAGGCGTCACTGCTTGCCTAGTGAGGCGTCACTGCTTGCCTAGTGAGGCGTCACTGCTTGCCTAGTGAGGCGTCACTGCTTGCCTAGTGAGGCGTCACTGCTTGCCTAGTGAGGCGTCACTGCTTGCCTAGTGAGGCGTCACTGCTTGCCTAGTGAGGCGTCACTGCTTGCCTAGTGAGGCGTCACTGCTTGCCTAGTGAGGCGTCACTGCTTGCCTAGTGAGGCGTCACTGCTTGCCTAGTGAGGCGTCACTGCTTGCCTAGTGAGGCGTCACTGCTTGCCTAGTGAGGCGTCACTGCTTGCCTAGTGAGGCGTCACTGCTTGCCTAGTGAGGCGTCACTGCTTGCCTAGTGAGGCGTCACTGCTTGCCTAGTGAGGCGTCACTGCTTGCCTAGTGAGGCGTCACTGCTTGCCTAGTGAGGCGTCACTGCTTGCCTAGTGAGGCGTCACTGCTTGCCTAGTGAGGCGTCACTGCTTGCCTAGTGAGGCGTCACTGCTTGCCTAGTGAGGCGTCACTGCTTGCCTAGTGAGGCGTCACTGCTTGCCTAGTGAGGCGTCACTGCTTGCCTAGTGAGGCATCACGGCTTGCCTAGTTAGGCAAACGCTCAAATCCTCCGCAGTTCAAGCCATTGATCAGCCAAATTCTGTAGATTTGCGTTAGATGTGGCAGTGATGAATTATTATAGATATATTTGTTTAATGAAATGTTTATTATCGGTGTTTCAATTCGAGGAACATATTTCCGAAGTGTGCATAGTTTATTTTTCGAGGCGAGTGACGACTAAGACATCAATACTGTCCCTTGATCTGCAGGGCAAAAATCGCATTTAACCCTCAACAATCCTCGTTAATATGGTAAACAAACATCATCCGGGAGTGCGGAGAAAAAATAAAAAATAATTTACTTGGAACGAATACGTTTCATTCCATTAAAAGGTAATCGTTTATAATTATGAATAGTTTAGAAAAATTATAAGTTTAGGTCTTAAATAATAAGTTTAGAAACGATTTTGGAGAACTGTTCATATTTTGGTAAAGCAGCAGCAAACTGTGCATGTTTGTCCAGTGATATCAGTTCTGATATGGCACGCGACCATGGGGTTGGAGCAAGTTGAGCGTTGACTGTTAGTACAATGCAAAATTTACAGTTAATTTTTAACAGAACTAAATCGCAAGGTTCTGGTCTCGCAAGACCTCAATCCATTTGTCAATGTACACTTTTTACACACTACTATGTTGTGTTTTACACGGAAAGATTCAATGTTAATTTATTCTTTAATTGTCAGTTCGTGATGATAAAGGCCAAGGTCACAGTGGCCCTTCCTTAAGTCCTGGATCGAAGTCCCGAGATCTGCAGCAGACCTTCTGTAAAAAGGTACACGCTCCGTGGATCAAATGATTTGTATCTTGTATGTGAGCTGCAAGAAGCTCTTGGTGGTCACTTACAACGTTAAGTGATCTAATATTGATTTATCGAAAGGAGCAAAACGAAAAATTACCTTCGCTCAAAAAAAAACTACTCGAGCGTATTATTTTCGAAAAAATATATCGAAAATTTTTTCATCAATAAAAGACGTTCCAGGGCGTAAGTCGCTTACTCAAGCTAAATTGACTTTTTCCTTTAAGATAGCAAATTTATAATGTTCTTCTAAAATTTAAGTTCACGCACATATCAAGTGGAAAGGCAAAAATCTCAATCCAGAATGGAAAAGGCGCCGAAACAAAATTTTGAAATATCCGACGCTCAGTCACTGTTTGCTCAATTTATCAAGAAAATTTCCAGACTTAAACGATAACATCAGCAAGAGTTGCACGTTGAAATATTTAAGAAACATCAGCTTTACTTCTATATTTGCAGATTAACTAAAACTATAAGTGATGCAGACGCGGTTGCAAGACTTACATACTTCAAATCAGACATAATTAATCGATCACAGAGCGTCTCTCACGCAATCATGACACTTTGTTCGCATAATGGCATTCCAAACTATTACAATTCCCTTGATAGTTTAGCAATCAAAATAGCTTAGCAATCTCTACGGCCAGGTAATCTATAGAACATATAGGCGTTCTCTGCAGCTTGGTAATCCATACTGTTGGGCAATCTAAACAGTAGAGAAATCTTAACAGTTTGAATACCTGTACACTGTACAGCTGGCCAATCTCTGCATCTTGGCCATTTGTCAAGCTGAGCAATCTGTACAGCTTGACAATCGGTACAGCTCATAAGTAGGTTTTAAATCAGTCCTGACGATAATATTACTTAAAATTCTGTTATTTATCATTTACTTGCAAAAGTAAATCTGCCATAATTTTACTATTCCAGAAAAACCATATCTGCCAGAGGATGTTATCAAGATTGTAAAATAATCAGCTTTTTCTGCTTTGGATCCCACTGATTATATTTGAACTTACATAGGCGATTCTCCTTATAATCTTGCGTCTGAGTTTATTTGAGCGTTCTATGTTCTCTAGACGGATCTAAATCTATGTGTTCTTTGTTCTTTAGACGGAGCATAAATCAATGTGTTCGACGTTCTTAAGACGGAGCATAATTCTATGTGTTCTATTTTCTCTAGACAGGGCAAAAATCAATGTTTCCAATGTTCTCTAGACGGAGCAAAAATCTATGTGTTCTATTTTCTCTAGACTATGTTCTCTAGACGGATCTAAATCTATGTGTTCTATGTTCTTTAGACGGAGCATAAATCAATGTGTTCGATGTTCTCTAGACGGATCTAAATCTATGTGTTCTATGTTCTCTAGACGGAGCATAAATCTATGTGTTCTATGTTCTCTAGACGGAGCATAAATCTATGTTTTCAATGTTCTCTAGACGGAGCATAAATCTATGTTTTCAATGTTCTCTAGACAGGGCAAAAATCTATGTGTTCTATGTTCTCTCGACAGGGCGGAAATCTATGTGTTCTATGTTCTCTAGACGGAGCAAAAATCTATGTGTTCTATGTTCTCTAGACGGAACATAAATCAATGTGTTCGATGTTCCCTATCAGTAATCTCGAGACTGACGACAGCCTGAACGATGCGACGCGATGTCGCGTGTCAAAACAGTCATCAAAGAGCGAGTGAAAAACCGGCATGCGATATCGAGGAAAATTAATCATTTTTCTGAAGCGCCATGAGATATTAGCTTTTTTAGATGAATTCACTCGTGGCATATAGGGATAGAAATGAAGCCTAAAACATTGCAAAAATATCGTTACGGTAAAGAAAATGTCAAGGAAATCAGTTATATTTTCAGAAACAACCTTGTCATTGAAAACGTGCTGAAATTTATTGTTATATAAATTTTTCACATTTTTTCATTGTCACTTACATATTTTTATTTAATTTGCACGTTCAAGCAATCAGTTTTCTTTATTCTTGGTCAACGCATGACATGAACGACATTTTTTTAACGAAGCAATATTATCACTCAAAGATTTTTACCATCTCTGTAGATCATGAAATCTTTATAATATGTAAAATATTAAGAACTTATTAGATTTTCTCCATCATGCAGTACAATTGATGAATGAAATGTTTATCAATGAATAACATTCTTTATGCACCAATAAGTGAAAGAAATTGCCGCACTGTAATCAACGTTCAATAATCATTTCTTCTTCAGAATCACTCCCTTAATTATCACATAAAACAATAAATTTCAAATAAATTATATTTTTCGGTTACTATCACACCCGAACGTCCAACCAAAATCTCCCATATGGCGTCATCGCGTTTACGTAATTCTATTTAAAATTCTGACGCGAGTCGAGCGAAGCGTGTTTACGAACGCGTTATTAACTCCTCGTCGTGATGTGTTGTGACATTTTGGTGGATGCTGAAGTGTAAACATGGCGTGTGGCGCGCTAACATCTCGCGATGGCATCTAAACACGCCGCTGTGGCGCGCTAACATCTCGCAATGACATCCAAACACGCCGCTGTGGCGCGCTTTGTGGCGCGCTGACATCTCGCGATGGCATCCAAACACGCCGCTGTGGCACGATGACATCTCGCGATGGCATCCAAACACGCCGCTGTGGCACGATAACATCTCGCAATGGCATCTAAACACGCCGCTGTGGCGCGATGACATCTCGCGATGGCATCCAAACACGCCGCTGTGGCGCGATGACATCTCGCAATGGCATCCAAACACGCCGCTGTGGCACGATAACATCTCGCGACGGCATGTAAATACGATGGCAAATCTCGCGATGGCATGTAAATACGCCACTGTGGCGCGTAATAAACATTCGCAGTGACAATTATCCAAGCTAAAGGATGTTGAAAAGGCATGCAAAATAACACTCAACAACACAAGGTTACATAGAAATAAGTGCGACGTGTCACAATTCACAATTACCACCATTACCAAAACCCACGAAATTCATCACTACAAAGCAATGCAGTCGTTTTCGAATGTGGATTTCGGATGCGATACTCACGTAGAGATGAAACTAATGGAAATAAATTTAACGGCAACGAAAATGTCAAAAAAATTCACGTGTCGCCTTGCGTGTTGCCGATCGCTGCATCGACCGCCGCCATCCACGCAGGAGCTGCGGAAGCGACACTCAGAAAACTCAATGGGCCATATTGACCAAATACTGATACACTTACAGCGTATAACACTGATACGTCATTTCTTCGTGCCAAACTGGGACAAGATGGCCCGTATAAAGGCAGTAGTGCATCAATTTTTGGACCAATTTTCATACGTAATTTCTTCGTGCCAAACTGGGACAAGATGGCCCGTATAAAGGCAGTATTGCATCAATTTTTGGACCGATTTTCATACGTAATTTCTTCGTGCCAAACTGGGACAAGATGACCTACATAAGGGCAGTAGTGCATCAATTTTTGGACTGATTTTCATCAATTTCCATGAGTGGAGGCAGGCAACGTCGCACGGCTGCAGACGCGCGCTCCCAAGCTCAGCTTGACATCCGCCGTACGGAATACTTTCTGGGCACCAAATGCAGAAAAGCTTAAATTCCTTCACATTAACAGCCAATATCGGCCAAACTAAAAACAATATCTGTCAAATTGAAATTGAAAGGCCGTCTTCAAAGCAAATTAAGTGGTAACTAATAATAGGGAAACTGAATAAGTAATTGAATAATACACGCGACTTTAATAGATATAATGGCCATGCAGATACGGCCATTACTTCGGGCAATCCATACACATCCTGCAGGGTGAATTAAGTAAATACTATTATTGCATTAAATACTATTATATATTACTAATACTAATTACTATTATATACTATATTATTAATATGTACAAGTATTTAGTCTTCGTGATTTCCAAGTAATACTTGGTGGAAATGTAGAAAATTAGGATGAAGCCGTTCTCGATTATTGGTACCGATTATATTTTATGAAATTGGTATGGGAACGCTTGAGTTCGGCGACACCAAGCTTCACAGTCACAATAAGATGATTACTAATTTTAAATGTTAAATTTAATCAGGACGTAAATTAAAGTTAGCACTTATACAGCAAGAAAATTATGAACAATCAAAAGCGCCTGCCTAATGTGATTTGGTGATAATAACGAAATTGTTTATTCGTAAATCTTGTAATTGAAGCTAATGCACGGCACAAAATGGATGCCAAACACTGCGTAGTTTGCGTCCTTTTGAAGCCATTTCTCGGACTTAATGTTGGTGCATCAACAATAATTTTTCATTTTTTAATCAAAATGGATATAAATAAACAGTAAAAATACAGTTTATGTCACATGAGAGATGCGAGCACCAGAAATGTCTTCTAATAGAACTCATCTCTCATTGACTAAAATAAAATGCCTCTAAAACCAAAAGATGGCAACCTGATCTCTGATCACCAACTGTAGTTACAAATAATATTTTTAATGGTAAAATATCCTAGTTACATTATAAAATCCTCTTGAGTCAGTAAACTGTTAAAACATCATTATTATTTAAAGCGTTGAATGGTATGTTGTTTAAGATATCAGAAGACGTTTCCTATAGAAAATTATACATATTTCGAGGTTGAATAGTTAGCTTCGCTGCCGCTTAAAAGTTTTGAGCTTTTACTGGTCAGGAAATATCTCATAAATAACGTTCAACAAAAAGTATACGCCATCGAGTGCAACGTTATGTTTTTGACGTGTTGTTATAACGTTGGCGTGTAGTTATAACGTTGTTATCATAACTTTAGTTATAAAGTTGTTAGTAATCCTCAGTTATATCAATTTAGGATCCCTAGTATAGGATGGTCTCATGTTGCACTTCGAAGCTCTTCCTTGCAATATAACATTTCGCATTAGATTTAGTGTCCATTATACCGGAAAACGTGAAGAATATCTAGAAAGTAGGAAGTAGTGTTTGTGAAAAATATTTAGAAAGTAGGAAGTAGTGTTTGTGAAAAATATTTAGAAAGTATGAAGTAGTGTTTGTGAAAAATATTTAGAAAGTAGGATGTAGTGTTTGTGAAAAATATTTAGAAAGTAGGATGTAGTGTTTGTGAAAAATATTTAGAAAGTAGGAAGTAGTGTTTATTCTCTCTGGAAAATAGGATTCGTTATTCGTTAGCGTGAAGGAGCTGGGCTTAGTCTTGAGCTCGGTGATAAATTGTTATGTTTTTCTTGCTTCCCTTGAGTTTAACGCGACACTTTCAGTAACATTCGAGTTTACTTGTGCACTCCCTGTTCATACTTCAGAACAGAAATAAGATTCTTCTTTGCACTTGAATAATAACCTAGAACTCCGTGTTACTAACCCTAGCCAATAATAACCTAGAACTCCGTGTTACTAACCCTAGCCAATAATAACCTAGAACTCCGTGTTACTAACCCTAGCCAATAATAACCTAGAACTCCGTGTTACTAACCCTAGCCAGTAATAACCTAGAACTAAGTGTTACTAACCCTAGCCAATAATAACCTAGAACTCCGTGTTACTAGCTCTAGCCAGTAAAGATGACCTGTCATTTGCTGTCTTCGCCACAGCATGAATGACGTGCATCACAACTACGGTAACCTAAGTAATAACCACAATTAAACACATCAATTAAGCGTTCAAATGATGCATTATCTCCGACTAGAGATGCATTTTTATTTGAACAAAGTGTTATGGAGCAAAGTCCTTCTTTCTCCGAGACCATATTGAGGCTAAAAATGGCATCAGTCAAGCTTTTGTTTTTCATTCTACGAAATCCACTGGCTGGTTATTTTCACGTTGAAATTATATTCAATTTTATAGAAACCGAAAAACGTTGTAATCTGCTCAGCAATTGTCGAGATAATCGAGCAATCACGCTCGCCGCTGCCGCGGAGACACCACACAACCTCACCACCCGCCGGCTCCTGGCAAACTGAAGCGATGCGCCGTCCGGCGTCCACACTCACAGCCTCATATCGATCTCAGCCACCCTCAGCCACCCTCAGCCATCCTCAGCCACCCTCAGCCACACTTAGCTATCCTCAGCCACCCTCAGCCATCCTCAGTGGTCCTCAGCTGTCCTTAGCCATCCTCAGCTGTCCTCTGCAACCATCAGCCTCCTTCAGCCACCCTAAACCTACGTCACGACAGCCTTATGTAAGCCGCTTAGAGTCAGCCATCTCAGTCAGTATTCAAGCCGCTGAAAACTGGCAATTCATTAGGTTGCTGAAAACCAACCGCTTAAGCCTCTCAGGGAGTTGCAGAAAGAAGCTGAGAAATACTAATTGAATTGAGCCATTTTTCCTCCATGATTAATAATTGTTAGCGTTCATAAAAATGCTCCTAAGAAGCCACATTCCGCGCAAGAAAGGACCAGAGGTCAGCCTCCAGCCGTAACTGACTTGGTAGGAGCAAATGAATGCAAAGTGCGGGAAACCTTCAGTATCAGAGATAAAGATATTGCTTTCATACTTATGAATATCATACCGTCGGTTTTTCAATTCAAATCTAAAAAATGCCCCCGGCGCAAAGCAAACATGCGATGCATCCAAGAGGGAAAACCTCAAAACTCTTGCCATAATCATGTAATATTTATCAAAATATTCATATCGTATTTACCATCAATGTGAAGTTTGAAGCAATAACAACTCTGCTTTTCTCATGAAACTTCGCCTTGAATGGTATTTATGCACTTAAATACATCGAATAAATGCCAAAGTATTTTCTATTCAGCTAAAGATATTGAATTTATTATCTCTGAAATAAATTTTAATTCTTGAATTGAATTCCACGCTGTAGTATTAATTCAAAAGACTTGCCGGTTTATTTTCAGTGGGGTGGTAGGAGGCAACGTTAACTAAATGTTCGGAGCAACTTCCGTGGAGTTTATGGAGAAGCTCCGGTCAACCTCACTAGAATTTGTGTTTCGAACAAGTGCAGAAAGCCGTTGAATTATATTGTACGACGTTTCGCATGCAACTTCATTCATTATCAGTATGGGAAGAGTTTCGCAACAACTGAATTTGAAATTTTGAAATGACATCAGTACAAACATAGGTATTATATAACTTGGATATTTGGATTTTCACTTCCTATCAAGAGCCTAATTCGCCGAATAGAGAAAACCAATAAGAAAATTGTCAGTAAGAAAAAAGCCGTTGAAGTGCACTCTGATTCGACAAACAAATTAAATAAAATTATGCACTGAAATTCTATCAATAATTTAGGAGTTTGTATGTAGCTTGTTGAGAAAACGCATTCTTAACCAGTTTGTTGGGCCCAGAATGCGTCCCTAAACATATTAAGCGTCATATTCACACTTAATTGTTCGCCATTTTTGGCATTTTATTGGGCTTTAGGCTAATTTAAACCTCGAGAGAAGGGTTCAAAGGAAGCCAGCCGTTAACTATGAAAGCTGCGAGACCAATTACAGATGCAAGGTTTCAAGTGGAGTAGAAAAATATGTGTAAGTTTTAAAATATGAGAAGGGTTCTCATGCATATGATCTCGCTGACTAGTATGGCTTGCTGAAGTCAAGGATTTCGAATATTCTTGAGAACAAAAATATTATAATTGCCAACCACGGATAATAAGTTAAGGTTCCAGATTACATGAGATGGTTTAGCTGTCCCGTAGCTTACATCTAACATGTTACAAGCATGATGTACGATCAATGTACAACATTGAGCTTTCGGTCAACTAAAGATAGTTTGACAACTAAAAGAACTAAACTAAACTAAAAAGAACTGATAATTAAAAGAATACTT